TTGAAATATACTTAAATTAATAATTAAATTTAATAATTAATAAGTTGTGAAGTATCATAGAAATTTTATTGGCCACGTTGGTAATCAATTGAAGTGTCAACTTCATGAGCAGCGTCATTGAAGCGACAAGCAGCCGCCTGTTACCTGTGTTACCTGTTCACTGCATACACTAATGAGCAGCAGCAACAACAACGACAACAACAACAGTGCCGACAAGTTGCAGTGCTGAAAATTAATTACACTGCGGATTGGCTGGCATGTTAGCTGTTAATTACGACCTGTTTCGCCTCTGAGTGTGCCGACAACAAATGAAAGTTATGGCCGAATTCTACGTTGGTATTGGTCCAGCACTAAGCCGGCTGCAACGGCGGAGGAGTGGCCCAAAACGAGTTTCTTTGTCTCTGGCTATCTGCGTCGCTTCGCAGCACTCCCCATCGCGCTGAAGTCTTATTCTTGCTGTTGTTTATTCTGCTTGTTCTTCTCTCTCTTCGGTGTTCATAAATCCAATCAACGTCCCTTTTAATGGCGTTTTTTGTTCATGAATCCATTTTATATTTCCTCTGTTTCGCTGTATTCGTTCAATTTGCGGTTGTGTTTTCTTAATTGTTTCTTTTGTTCTCTTTTTGTCCATTTTATCTTAATTGAGCGACGGACCACACATGAGTCAAATTCCATATGCATACGAGTGCTCGGTGGGCAATTAAGAACGAATAGAGTCATATTTGTAAAATTGATGAAAAGTGTAAGAGACAGAAATGCGATATAAGTATAAAAGAAATTCAAATAATTTGGCAGAGTTAGCTGGCTCTGGTTCATTATACTGTTAATTTCTGATAGTCCATAAGAATAAGCATAAGGAATGCCTATACAGATATAAATCTCCTGGTTGTACTTATTCCTATAATATTTCGCTACCAACTGATGCGTCATCATTATTGGTAATTGAAAGTTGATTGGTTGAAGTTCTATATTTTCAGATTTGGCATGGATAGGTAAGGGTCTTTATATTTCGTTACTATTGATTAGTTGCTAGCTTAGCTAATGTTAAAGTAAAGGAACATTTTTACAATCATTTTATTGCTTAAAATTAGAAAACATACATTTTATACATTTTAAATAAATACAA